TTTGTAGTCATGTTAATTAAACAGTACTAATGATCTAGGTGTAAACAAAGAGATAGGATGAATATAACCCTTTGCTTTTTTTGTTTTTGATGTGATCCATTTCTTCAGACATAAGGACTCCTGTTTCACTCCGTTTTTCTTAGATCTATCATTCAACGGAAGTTTTTTTTTTCATCAGACGACCGGAACAACTCAAAAAAAAAAAAAACGCGGTACTGTTCACCGGGTATTGTTCATGCGGTACTGTTCAAAAAAAATTTGTTTTTTTGTTTTTGTCTCCTCTACTCGGATCTGTGTTTTTCTCTCTGATCTGACGTCGTTTGTAACACCCCGTTCTAGAACCGGATTGTTATCATTGCGTACGGCATTAAGCGCAGTTACAATCACATTGGTTCAATTAGAAAACCGGATAAATTTTTCCTTTTTAAACAAGCCGGATTTAAATAACCAAGTGCGTGATCATAACTATATATACTTCGCGGAATAGTGGGACTAAACTTAATATTATATTCCCATTCTACTTGACAATACGTCGTTAAATGTCTTCATCACTTTAATTATCAAATTAATTCTAAACTCCTTTTATGATTCACATCTTCTACTATGTTATAGGATTCTTCATTAGCTACGCGTGGGTTCAAACCGCGCTCAAATCGGAGCACCGTAGCCAAAGTTATGCATTTTCTAAGAAAAGGGTGCGAAACCTCCAGAACCCCCGCGCCCGTAGCGTGAGATCCACGCCCAGAGCGTGGGAAAACAGAAAGTTGACGCCCCAAGCGTGGATCTGGCGCCCCAAGCGTGGATGCTACTGTCTGATCTCGTAATTTGGCGCCCCAAGCGTGAATCTGGCGCCCCAGGCGCCATCCACAGGGCTGGGTGACCCAAAACAAGGTCATTTAACCTACCTATGGTTTTCCACTCATAACTTGAGCTATACTCACTCAAATTACACCATTTTGGTCTCTATGGAAAGCTAAGAGAAATGTCTACAACTTCCATAGAGACATCAAAGTCCAATTCCATCACATTGGGTATGAAAATTGATCAACCGGACGGGATGTAATTGTTTTCTCAACATTTTCCAATTTAGCACTAGGTACCTAATATAATTTCCAGCTCAACAATCCAATATTCATCATGCATTCATATCCTTGAAGTAAATAGCATTAATACAAGTTTAATTACATAACGGGGGACTTAGCTACAAAAGGCTATGATCATCTCTTGGCTCTCATCAACCAAAGAGATATCCAATGGCATAATCATAGGCTAAGTCCATCAAATATAACGAGATATACATATGTCAATGCTATCAATGATCAATCCTATACACGTAAATCTACAATATAACCATTTACTTTTTTTGTTTTTGATGTGATCCATTTCTTCAGACATAATTTTTCGCTAAACTCTACGATGGATGTCCCGAAAGGAAGCAAAGTGTTGAACAAGTTTTGCTCTTAGCAATATCTACTCCTAATTAATTTTAGCATTGGTCCTGCTGTTTAAGGACTGCGGTTTCTGACTTTCTTCTATATTTTAGATAATTAGATGGTTAGTTTACTAAATCCAAAGTTTTCGTCCTTTCTGCTAATCAACGTGCAAGATTTTTCTACGTAGGAACTGCTTTAGCTATAAGCTAAGCTATGCATAGTTGATAGATAGTACCACCATGATAATTCCGTCTAGTGAGCTATCTATCCAAGAAGTAGTATAGCTTGAGTCTAAATGAATGAGTTTTGATCTAGGAGATAAAATTTAGGAAGATAATTGTCTTATGTCACGTAACACAAATTATTATATGTTGCACACTCATAAATCTTGGGCTCATTTTTTCTTTTCTTTTTTTATTTTTTTTTAAATTATGGGCCCCACAACTTTGTTTCATCCACATAAAATATATATCTTATGCAACATAAGATTAATAACTCCAAAAAATTTAATACTACGGATTTAACAAACTCTATACCTATGATGCACGGACACGGGACATGACACGCCGACACGTTAATTCTAAAAAATGACATATTTTGACACGTTGGGACACGTTTTGATATGAAATAATATTTTTAATATATATAATATAATTTATATTTAATACATATAACAGTCCATAATAAGTCATATAACCAATCAAATATTCAAATTTCATAACATAAATATACACAAAAATAATTTTTCGTAGAAAAAAATTAATTTATAAATGATTTTTTTTTTAATTAATAAAAAATTAAGACTAAAAAAAAAAACGTGTCCGAGCGTTAACCACGTGTCCGAAAAAGTTGACTGCGTGTCGAAAAAACGTGTCGAAGTGTTTCGGAGAGTTGACCACGTGTCCTAAAATGTTGACCGCGTGTCCGAGCATGTCGGAGCATGTCCGTGTCGGACACGTGTCCGACACGTACAATTCCAAAAAAAATATCGTGTCCGTGTATGTTAGCTCTGTACACCCGTTTATTAAAATGAGTAAAAAAAATTTCATTTTAATCCTTTTTTTATATTTTCTTCTATATTTTAAAAAAAAATCTCATTTAGTCAGGGTGTAGATATATTTGTACCAAAAATTTGCTGTTAATAATAACTATGTACCCGATCTCAAAACAGAGAAGTTACCTAGAAATTTGAGTTCAAAGTTTATATTTAAATTATTATTTTTTTTTAAGTCTGTATTGTGCCAAGAAATTCCAATTATCCAAAGAAGCTTTTACGATGGTAGGTCTTTGAAAGAACATTTACAAATATCTCTTCTATAAAAAAATGGAAGAGAAAAGTTATGCGAGATGTATTGATATTTGTATGCTTACATTATCAAGCATAGAGATTTATTCAGTTTTTGCATAGGACTAGCTACCATTTGTTCTCGATGCAAAATTAAATAATATAAAAATTAATGTTACATAAACATCAAGAATTAATTCTTGAACATGAACATATATAGCATTATTAAAACATAATTATGAATAAGTTAATTTAAAGTTTCTGTCATTTTAATCTCAGCTATATTTATGTAAATAACATTCAAAAGATAAGACCATTAGATAGAAACAAAATGTTTATATTTAATTGTTTTGATATTACAATTTTCGCATTAATTAAGAAATGTGTTGTACTGTCTAATGTCTATAAGAGGAGCCAAAATCTCGAGTTCGCTGTCATAAATTCATATTCTGTAATGAGGAAATGATGAATGGCGGTGGTGGGCCTAAATCTTTGGCATAGAGGCATGTGGGGAACCTAAGCTTTCATCCTTTCGTTGATTCCAAAATGAGCAGAAAATAATAGCATATGATGTAGTTGGAAGCATTAAGCAGCTTCCTTTTCTTTTGGTGATATCACTTCCAATTATGAGGAATCAAGTACCATTCCCTCTCCCTCTTAGGAACTTGCCCATTGCACATGGCTTCCAGCCCTTTCCCTTTCATTGTTTATGGGTCTAATTATTAACCTTTGATTGGAAAAACAAGAATGTATATTACATTAATACTATCTCCTTTCATGCAATAACTTTATAAAAAAAAAAATTAATATATCTATAATAATTGCACAGTGCCAGCTGTGCCCATGTGGTGGCCTTAAAATGGGACACATCTGCTTTTATGACAGGGAATGGGGTTTGGTAGGTACAGACAATGATTGTCTCAAAACACATTCCCTGATAATATATACATCTCGCTCTTCCTGTTACAAACTTGAGAAGAAAAAGTTCCAAGCTCTCTGTTGTGAAAATACTAATCTATTTAGCTTGTGATAGATAAGTAACTATATAGTTTAACTGATAAGTGATTAATGATACAATTTCACATTAACTATTAAAACAAACAATTTCTTAATTGAATTACGTACTTCTATTTTGTGTTAACCAATTATGCTAAGTGGTGAAAATATACTAAAATTCCACTACTTCTACGTAGTAAAGTCTAACACAATATTTGCTTAACACTCTGGTATTGTACCACTATAGTTATATCTTTCAATCCATCTTTGCATATAACTGAAGTTGAAGCGCAAGATGTTGTGAATACTAGGGTGTCAATATAGGTTATGACACGTGGATCGATCCGCGACACGACACGAAAATTTGTGTTGAGATTGACCTGTAAAAAAAATCGTGTCGTGTTCGTGTTGGGAAAAATGACACGTAAAAAATTCGTGTTGATGTATTCGTATTCGTGTTGATCCATATTTTATTTTTATTTTTTATTATTTTTTTAAATTTTTTTAATTTCGACCTTTTTTAAAATAAAAAATTGTCAATTACCGTTTTGATTCCTATTTTGCGTGTTATTCGTGTCGTGTTAGTTTTTAAGATTTTGACACAAATAAAAATTTATATCATGTCAAATTCATGTCGTGTCGACCCGTTTTGACACCATCACAATACAATATTCATTCATGATTGTATCTTAAAACGTACCCTATCCTCGTAGTAACACAAACATGAGAACTACTTCAGCAGAAATGTTTAGAAAAATATATTATGACAACGGACAAGTTAAAATTTGACCAACCTTGCTTTTGGGGTTTTAACAGATTAATCATTGGTGTGCTCACCATTGAACACTTTTTTTTTCCCCTCCATGGTGCTATCTCTGCTTCAATATAACATAACTTGCACAAGAATGGCTAAGTAAAAGGAAAAAGAATTAAGCATAACGACCAGTTAAATTACTCACATGGGTTGACCTTATTATAAGCAGTTCTGGAACACATTCTGTGCATGTTATGATGTCTAGGAGATTTCAAATGAGTCCAAAGATTGACAGTCATCAGTTGCACATGATTAGCTGGTGCAGATCCCAAGAACCCACGTATATCCAATAAATTAATTATCCTTTTTCTTATCAGTTATCCATCACTAATTAGCATTAACTATAAACTAATTTGTCTCTCAGAACTTGCTATAACTTTCCCTCAACTCCGCTACTCTCTCTGTTCCTTGCTATGAAAAAAAATGCAATAAAATTAAGAGGGACGAAAAGCAGAAGAAAATAACCACCAATATGCAGACCTACCTGCTGCTCTTCATTGGTCTCTCTCTTTTTTTTGCTGAGGGAGCTCAAGCTGCAGCAGATGATGAATTGTCAACTCTGCTATCAATCAAATCCAGTCTCATTTATTCAATGAATTCTTTGAATGATTGGCAACTATCAAGAAATGTGACACAGCAAGGTTCACCCCATTGCAACTGGACTGGAGTTGGTTGCAACTCTCAAGGCTTCATAGAGAGTCTTGACCTCTCCAACATGAACCTTAGTGGTCGGGTTTCAGATCACATCCAATCCCTTTCAAGTCTATCTTTTTTCAACATAAGCTGTAACAACTTTGCTTCATCACTTCCCAAATCATTGTTCAACCTCACCTCCTTAAAGAGCTTTGATGTGAGCCAGAACTACTTCACTGGCACCTTTCCAACTGGACTTGGAAGAGCTGCAGGATTGATATCAATTAATGCATCAAGCAATGACTTTTCTGGTTTTCTTCCTGAAGATATTGGAAATGCAACATTGCTCGAGAGCCTTGATTTTCGAGGGAGTTACTTTGTAAGTTCAATCCCCAGGAGTTTTAAGAATTTGAAGAAGCTCAAATTTCTAGGCCTTTCAGGAAATAACTTCACTGGGGGGATTCCAGAATATCTTGGGGAACTCATATCTCTGGAGACATTAATTCTAGGATACAACGAGTTTGAAGGTGAGATCCCTGCAGAGTTTGGCAACCTCACCAATCTTCAATACCTTGACTTGGCTGTGGGAACTCTCAGTGGACAAATTCCACCTGAATTGGGTAAGCTGAAAAAACTCACTACAATTTACTTGTACCATAACAACTTCACAGGAAAAATTCCACCTCAACTTGGCAACATTACTGCACTAGCATTTTTGGACCTCTCTGACAATCAGATTTCAGGAGAGATTCCAGAAGAACTTGCTAAATTGGAAAACCTGCAGCTCTTGAATTTGATGAGCAACAAACTAACTGGTCCTGTACCAGAGAGGCTTGGGGAATTGAAAAATTTACAGGTGCTTGAGCTATGGAAAAATTCTTTAGAAGGTCCTTTGCCACTAAACCTTGGAAAGAACTCTCCTTTGCAGTGGTTGGATGTGTCCTCTAACTCATTATCTGGTGAGATCCCTCCAGGTTTGTGTAATGCAGGCAATCTCACTAAACTAATCCTCTTCAACAATTCCTTCTCTGGTTCCATTCCAAGTGGACTTTCAAACTGTTTGTCTTTGGTACGTGTTCGGATTCAGAACAATCTTATTTCCGGAACTATTCCAGTGGGGTTTGGAAACCTCCCAGGCCTTCAACGGCTGGAGATGGCAAAGAACAACCTCACTGGGCAAATTCCACTAGAAATTGCCTCATCCACATCCCTCTCTTTCATTGATGTATCTTGGAACCACCTTGAATCATCTCTACCTTCAGAAATTCTTTCTATTCCAACCCTTCAAACCTTCATTGCCTCTCACAACAACATTCGAGGAAATATCCCACAAGAGTTCCAGGACTGTCCATCTCTCTCTGTGCTGGATCTTTCCAACACTTATATCTCTGGTACAATCCCAGAAAGTATTGCTTCTTGTCAAAAATTAGTCAACCTTAACCTTCGAAACAACCAGTTGACTGGTGGAATCCCGAAATCAATCACAAACATGCCCACCTTGTCTGTTCTTGATCTGTCCAACAATTCGCTGACTGGGAGGATACCTGACAACTTTGGCAGTTCCCCAGCTCTGGAAATGCTGAACCTGTCCTATAACAAACTTGAGGGACCAGTACCCTCAAATGGGATTCTAGTGACCATAAGTCCTAGTGATCTTATCGGCAATGAGGGTCTTTGCGGAGGCGTTCTCCCTCCATGCTCTCACAGTTTGACTGTGAAAAGCCGAAAAAGGAGCTCACATGTCAGACACATCATTATTGGTTTTGTGACTGGAATATCAGTGATTTTGTCTCTTGGTGCAGCATATTTTGGTGTTAAATGGTTATACAAGAGATGGTACTTGTATAACAATTCCGTCCATGATTGGTTCAAACAGAGCAGTGAAGATTGGCCCTGGAGGTTAGTAGCATTCCAGAGGATCAGTTTCACTAGTAGTGAGATCCTAACTTGCATAAAAGAATCAAATGTCATAGGCATGGGTGGCACTGGTATTGTTTACAAAGCTGAAATCCATAGACCTCATGTGACGGTAGCAGTGAAGAAACTATGGAGACCACAGGAAGACACAGAAAATGGTAATCATGTATTAAGAGAGGTGGAACTCCTAGGGAGACTTAGGCATAGGAATATTGTAAGGCTATTGGGGTATGTGCATAACGAAAGGGAAGTGATGATTGTTTACGAGTACATGCCTAACGGGAATCTTGGGACTGCATTGCATGGTGAACAATCTGAAAGGTTGCTTGTAGACTGGGTATCAAGGTACAACATTGCTCTTGGAGTTGCACAAGGGCTGAACTACCTCCATCATGATTGTCACCCACCAGTTATTCACAGGGATATCAAGTCTAACAACATTCTACTTGATGCAAATTTGGAGGCAAGGATAGCTGATTTCGGTTTGGCAAGGATGATGATCCAAAAGAATGAGACAGTTTCAATGGTGGCGGGATCTTATGGATATATCGCACCAGGTTAATTAATACTTATTACTCATGATTCAGTAATTTATTTAAGCATTAGCCAGGATATACTTAGTACTCATTAACTCATTACCAATATTAATATCACCTAAAGTAAAATAAACTGCTCTAGTGTGACAAGCCGAAGCCTACATATGCAAACTATGCCCCATTTTTGTTTTATAACTTTCTAGCTCAAAGAAGTGAAAGTGAAGGGCCACAAATTATTGACATCATGCTTATGTTCTATTTTATTTTAGAATATGGATACACTCTGAAGGTTGACGAGAAGATTGACATATACAGTTATGGGGTGGTACTTTTGGAGCTCCTAACTGGCAAAATGCCGTTAGACCCTGCGTTTGGAGAATCTGTGAACATAGTCGAATGGATACGGAAGAAGAGAACCAACAAAGCCTTGTTAGAAGCACTAGATTCCACCATAGCTGGTCAGTGCAAACATGTCCAAGAAGAGATGCTTCTTGTACTCCGGATTGCACTTCTATGTACTGCAAAGCTTCCCAAGGAAAGACCATCCATGAGAGACATTATATCAATGCTTGGAGAGGCAAAGCCAAGAAGGAAAAGCGTTTGCCGTAATGAGGGACAAGACAGTACCATGGAAAAGTCAACAATCTTCATCACCTCCCCAATAGTAAGCCTTTTATAACAACAGGTTGTTTAGTTTAATATTTTGAGTTCCCTCAGCCTCTGAATTCGGATGTATGCTTTGCCTACCTCGATCATTATTTTTAGCAGATAGCAATGGCATGTATTTCAGCGAGGTTTTGTTTCTTATTTTCTCTTTTAATTGAAGAAGGAACGGAGATTTCAGAACCACAATCAATCCATCAACAATAAAAGTAGCTAAAATGTGCATAAATATTGTATATTGACTCCCAAGAATGTCATTTTGATTAGAGTTTCCCATCTCAGCAAAGATGTCTTTAGCATTTGCAGACTTTTTTCTGGCCATCGCCCACTATCAACAGTCAATTTTCTCTTTCATAATTGATTACGTCTTGTTAGTTACTCAACTCGGAATTCACTCTTCATTAGTTCTTTCAAGTTATGTCTTCTTCCTTTACGGGTTTAACTGTCGCACAGTAAATGCAGGGAGAAAGAGGGCTTTGATGCCTCCCATGTCAATGTGGCAGCGTACATTGTTCCATAACAAATTACGCTTCATTAAGTTTGGAATTGTACTTGTTTTTAAAATTGGAAAACTAACTTATTTTTTTGTATTTCTTTTAGACTGAATGTGCCCTTATAGATTCAAGCTCGTCCAAGCAATACGGAAGAAACTGCAGTCACAACCATTACATATAATTCGTCAGATATGTTTGTGTAATCAAACTAATAACGAAATGTTAATCGAGCTGAAGTGTAGGATAAAAAGTCCAATAACATTCGAATATACAATTTACATTGCAATGATTGGGAAAAGCTATTAGGATCTTCCTGACATCAAGAAACGAAGGCTGAGAAGGAAAACTGCTATCTCTTCTCATCCCAACGAACACAGGCAGGATAATAGCACTACAGCATGATGCATCATACACTATGCATGCTTATCCAATTACAAATGTACCATCTGATCCCCAAATTTTTTTTTTTTTTTTAAAGAAAAAGAAAAGAAAAGAACTAGAGTCTCACCTCAAATTACCATACCCAATGGTATCCCATAGATCTAGGATGCTAGTAGAGCACTTCCTGATGCATTTCCTATTTCAAGAAAGTTGCCAGATGTTGGCTGGGAAACAGTGATGGAAACAGTGAGATTGGTCCTTAGATAGATGCAATGGGGGATTGGGATATTGTATAAAGATAAGTTATACATGTTGCAGACGAAAATTAAAATATCGTTGCATTTGTGGATGTCTACTCAGGCTGACATGCAATTCAATCTATGATAACATTACATTAGATCCTAAGATCAACCCACAGGCCAAAGTCAACGACCAATAAAACCAAAAGCTTTGGAAAATGAATATTTGTGCCCTTCCATAAAAAGTGATATGGTTAAAAAAAAAAAACACGCAATAGATAACATTGCCAGAATAATTGGAAGATCCGGAGGATTCAGAATAAAATTCTCCAAAATGAACTCCAAGATTATATTATTTCTCAGCAAGAATAAATTCTCCCAACTCATATTTAGAGATAATAATCATATACCTCACTAGCTTGAACTTCACCAAGGTAAAATGGCTCTTTCTCCTTGATTCCACCATTATCTTCACTAATTCTTTCTAAATCCTGCTAGAGGGTGATTAATCATGTTATGAAAAACAGAAGAATAAATTCCATCAAACCCGGTAAGAAACAACAGATTGAAAAAGGAAAATGTGGGGGGAAACCGCATGGGGCATATAATATCCTTAATTAGACATACCAAAGGAGCTCTCAGCACTGGCACTTCAATATAATACTGGAATTTTGATAAGATATACTAGCTACTTTAGTCTTTCAAGTACAAGAACATAACAAATATTAAATAAAAAAGGGCAAACACCGATACATAAGGCTCCCCAACTTGCGAGGGTAGATGTGAGGGTCGATTGTATGCAGCCTTACCTTTGCATTTTTTGCAAAGAGGCTGTTTCTCATACTCAAATCTGTGACTTTCGAGTCACAAGAAACAACCTTACCGCTGCTCAAGACTCACCCTCATGACGAATACTACAAGAAGAGATGCAGTGAAACTATACAAATAGATCCAGCTTTACACAAATATTTTAGTATCTTGTGTAGTTAATTAAAATAATTTAGATAAAATAAACAAGAATGTTGTTCATATAAGTGACATAGCACTGGTCAGTACTCCCACCAACATATAAACAAATTGGATTTAACAAATATAAAATCAAAATACCAACCAAATCGTATTTGCAGGCGCATAGATAGATTTGAAAAGAGGGTAAGAGATTGCAAAAACAATGTAAGATCAAGAGATTAGGCTTTTGAATTGGTAACTTAACCTAAATTCATAAAAATAAGACCTTCATATTAAGAGGTCAGAATGAATCACAATGTGTGGTAAATAATTCAGCCACGATATTCTTTATAATTGGAATGATATATAACTGAAATTACAACAAAAAGTGGGCACCCTTGGAAAATACATATTCATGTTCCCTTAGATATTAAAAGACTTTGAATGACATGTGCACCTGAATGTTTAAGAGAAGTCTCAAAGCAAGCTGAAAAAATACTAAATACAGAACCTCAGACACTAATAATCATTTACCTTTCCCGTCAAAATTTCAAACTCAAGTAATTCCTCTACAATCTTTTCTAGAACCAGGCGATTTTTCTGCAGGATTTCTCTTGCTTTGAGATATGCCAAATCAAACATCTAAGAATATCACAAAGTATTATATTAGATGTTTTCTTATATAAGAAGTTAAAATTTTACTAACATATGGCTACCTTTTCAACTTTAGCTGCCATCACATATTCATGATCATCCCCCATGCTTAATGCCGTCACCTAAGTCAAAAAATAAAAAATAAAAAATAAAAATACCAAAGACAATAAACGTCTTGCCTTTCACATGCAGTTGCCTTTCATTGATCATAACTCCCTCATAAATAATAGTTTCATTTATCAGAATCAGAAAGCAGTTCTCGCCAATCTTTAAAAATAATTTTTTTATTTAAAAAAAAAAAAAAAACTACAACTGATTAAAGAAGTATGGCCTCCACCAGTATTAAGAAAACAAGACAACTCACCAAACCAGAAGAGCGTGTGGTTCAGGGATCAGTCGTTATATATTTGTTTGAGGGAATTAATTGACACTGGAGTAAGATATAAACACTTATACCATATAATAACTCTATATAGAGCGATTTTTGTCAATACAACCATTGAGTTATAAGAGACAATCATGTCCATCTAAACACCAAATCTCAAAAAATATAAATGACAATAAAGGATGTTGATATTTTCATCTGACTGGAAAGTATATTGGACATTAAACTTTAGACATATTAATGGTACATGAAAAATATTGGATTATGAAAGATTTTATGATCAATAATGCATCACACAGTTAAACCAAGGATCCACCAAATTTCACATATTGAAAATTTATGGACTTCCTAAGTTCAATCGCGCTTCAATTATGTTTTATATCTGATTCCACATCACCTGGTTCTTTTGGTACACTGTCCAATCTACCATTTTATGTTATTTCTCCTCGTTTATAACTTGGAGAGTGCTTCTCAATTAGCAATTCAGTAAATTATTTATTTATTTTTAAATCATCTTCTTAACCATGTTGAATATATCTAATGCTAATTGAGAAAGAGAGACAAAAAAATTAGCATTGCATTCTGTTAAAAGTAAGATTCAAGCAATGCCCTACCAAATAGTTTGATCTAACTTTTAAATGCCACACAATCTAAATGCAAAAAAACCCATCAGTTCACGAATAACAGTTGAGATGCATGTAAGAAAGGTCTATACCGCATTACTACGGTAATAAATTGCAGGACTGTCATCAGGTCCCCACCCATACTGAATGACCATTCGTGTAGCTATCTGTTGTAAATAAAACAATGATCAGAAATTTTATATTCAAAGCATATTTTTGGGCAATATTATCTTTTTCAAAGAATTATAACATGAAAAACAAGCAGATATTTTAGCCGCATCAAGTAAAATATAAGCCAACCTCTTGCGCCTGCTGTATCTCAGATGTAGACAGTAAGTTTTCTTCCCCAAAAGGAAGTAACATTTGGGATGCAACATGTGAACCAAAACAAAACACGAGCTTCTTTTCAAGATATGATCTTGATTCCGAATTCCCATTAATGGAACCTTCATTTCTTGCTTTCGTGATTTTTGTACATCCAATTCCCTGTATAAAAAATTAAGAATCTATCATGATTCAAGTCAAAAGGGATTAAGGATTAAGACTTGAAAAGGGATTGGCCACTTCCAGCAACAAATGGCAGGCCAGACAGGTGAAAGCAAACATATGAAGCAGGACCCAAAGATATTATATTTTACAGTTAAAACAATCACAAATAAGCAATTCTAAAGAAGTATAAAAGGAATGGAAGTAATGAAAGAATAACAAAGAAATGTTCTTGTTTGGAGTCTTTAAATTAAGAAGTCTCAAGAATCTGTTTTAATTTTTTGAATACTGTGTAAATAATAGTTATTTTCTTCTTTATTAATTTATTTGTTGTATTGGGCCAAGTCCATTAGGTCAAGTATTAGGTCTTTTATTCTCTATAAATAGAGAACCTTTTGTACAGATTATTTACAATTCTATAATATATCAGAATACCCTTTTTCAAGTTGGTATCAGAGCTCTCGATTCTGAGGGTTCTGCTTCCGCAAATCACCGTCTTTAAAAACCAAACCCTATTTGCCTCTCGCCGCCACAAAGCCGCCGCCGGGAAAAAAATTTCCGAGGACCTTTTGGACCGTGAGGACTCCTGTTTCACTCCGTTTTTCTTAGATCTATCATTCTACGGAGGTTTCTTTTTCATCAGACGACCGGAACAGCTCAAAAAAAAAAAACACGGTACTGTTCACGCGGTACTGTTCAAAAAAAAATTTGTTTTTTTGTTTTTGTCTCCTCTACTCGGATCTGTGTTTTTCTCTCTGATCTGACGTCGTTTGGGTGTCCGTTGTGTGTTCTTTGGTGCTGTTTTTCACTCTTTCTTATCACTATGGCCAATTTAGAAGATGGTTCTCCATATGTGAATATTCAGCAAAGGGAGTTGGATCATCTTAAACCCGCTATTGATAATATGTGTAAGCCATCTGACCGTTCTTTGATCTTGTCTGGTAAGAGCACACGTTCTACATCTCTTCTTGCTTCTTGCCCTGATTTTAAAACCTCGTGGATTTTGGATTCTGGTGCAACTGATCATATGGCTTGTCGTACTGAGTTTTTTCGTTCTTATCATCCTACTGTTGATAGTCATACTATATCTGTAGCTGATGGATCCCATAAATCAATTATTGGTTCTGGTAACATTCAAATTCAACCTTCCTTGTTTCTTAAAAATGTTATTTATGTTCCTCAGCTTTCTACTAATCTTATCTCCACTCAAAAACTTACAGCTGATTTGAATTGTTCTATCACATTTTCTCCTTCCCATTGTGTTATTCAGGATCTTACCACGAAGAAGACAATTGGAGTTGCTAATGAGCAGGATGGGTTGTATCATCTCCTTCCAGAACATGCTATAAATGATAGCAAAAATCAGTTATTAATGACACGCCATCCTTCTACTGCAGAGTCTATGATTTGGCCCCATCCACCATTCAGTCTATTGAAGTCTATGTTTCCTTCTCTGTTTCTTAATCAGTCGGTTGAGACCTTTCATTGTGATGTTTGTGAATTTGCAAAACACCATCGAGTGTCATTTCCTGCTAGCACTATTAAAAGCAGCAAACCTTTTTCTCTTATCCATTCTGATGTTTGGGGCCCTTCTAAAGTGCATAGTGTTTCAGGTGCAAGGTGGTTTATTTCTTTTATTGACGATTGTACTCAGGTAACATGGATATTCTTGATGAAAGACAAGTCTGAAGTACCAGAGATATTTATTCGGTTTCATCACATGGTTGAGGCTCAGTTTGGTAAGTGTATTAAAAGACTAAGATCTGATAATGGTACTGAGTACGTCAACCAACGCCTGTCACAATTCATTTCAGACAGAGGTATGATTCATGAGCTCACATATGTTGATACCCCTCAACAAAACAGGGTTGCTGAAAGAAAAAATCGTCACCTCCTTGAAGTTGCTAGAGCACTACTTTTCCAGACATCTGTTCCTAGTTCTTATTGGGGAGAAGCCGTGTTAGTTGCAACCTTTTTGATCAACCGTTTATCTTCACGAGTCCTTAACAATACCAGTCTTATTCATTCCATGACTTCCTTCTTTCCTTCTGTTCCCATATTGTAGAGCCTTCCACCAAGAGTGTTTGGATGTGTTGCCTTTATCCATGTTCATAAACAACATCGGAGTAAGTTGGATCCTAGGGCTCTTACGAGTGTCTTCCTTGGTTATACCCCTTATAAAAAAGGATACAAGTGTTATCATCCACCAAGTCGAAAAAATTTTGTTTCTATGGATGTCACCTTTCAAGAATCTGAATCTTATTTCCCGGGTCTTCATCTTCAGGGAGAGAATAGTTCTTCAGAAGACTCATCCCCTTCCTTCTTTGAGTCTGGATCAGTCTTGTCTACTCTTACACCTCTTCCTAGTGTGTCTGCTCCTGGTGTCTCAGAACCTTGAAATACACCTGAGATACGAAAGATTTTGACACATGAATTGGTATATCAGAGAAGGAAACAACCCATACTGTCTCACCAGCAACCTCAATCGTCTGAACCACTGGTAAGTCCTGAATCTCCTGTTTCTTCTGAATCTCCTGTTTCTGATTCTAATATTATTGCCTCTCATGATTTGTCTATTTCTTCTGATATCTCTAATGACTTACATATTGCTTCTGCTTCTGATGACTTACCTATTGCCCTAAGAAAAAAGAAAAGATCTTGTACCAAGAAATCTTGTTCCTCATGTCCCTCTTGTACTCAATATCCTATCTCCCATTTTGTTTCTTCTACTAATCTTTCTGTGCAACACAAAAGCTTTGTTTCAGCACTAGATTCTATTTCAATCCCAAAATCAGTACATGAAGCATTGAAAGATGGGAATTGGGCTCAAGCCATGCAAGAGGACGTTGGAGAAAAATAAAACATAGGAGGTTATTGATAGACCCAATGTAAAGAAAGCAGTAGGGTGCAGATGGGTGTATGCCCTGAAGTATAATTCTGATGGCACTCTTGAGAGATATAAAGCTCGATTAGTCGCCAAAGGTTACACTCAGACCTATGGCATTGATTATGAAGAAACCTTTGCTCCAGTTGCAAAGATGAATACGGTGAGAGTCTTGTTATCCCTTGCTGCTCATTACAATTGGGATATAAATCAATTTGATCTGAATAATGTTTTCCTTAATGGTGAGTTAGATGAAGTCTACATGGAAATCCCTCCTGATTTTGATTCTGTGAATAGAGAAAATAAAGTTTGTAGATTAAAAAAGGCCTTGTATGGATTGAAGCAGTCACCTCGTGCCTGGTTTGAAAGATTTACTAAGGTTATGATGACCTTAGGATACAAACAAAGTCAAGGAGATCATACTCTTTTCTTTAAGCACTCCCAAGATGGGAAGCTCACTGTGCTCCTTGTATATGTTGATGATATTATTATCACAGGTGATGATTTTGTGGAGAGACATATTCTGCAAACAAGACTAGCATCTGAGTTTGAAATTAAAGACCTTGGGGAACTGAGATATTTCCTAGGGATAGAAGTAGCTCATTCAAAAAAAACAATTTTTATCAGCCAGAGGAAATATGTTCTTGATCTTCTCAAAGAAGCAGGAAAGCTCGGGTGTAAACCCTCTAATACTCCTATTGAGCAGAATCACAAGATAGGCTATGAAGAGGAGAGTCCTCCAGTTGATAAAGGACAATATCAACGGCTAGTTGGGAAATTGATATATTTGGCTCATACTAGACCAGACTTAGCTTATGTTGTTAGTGTTGTCAGTCAGTTTATGCATGATCCAAAGGAGAAACACATGCAGGCAGTGGAGAAAATTCTTCAGTATCTTAAAGTTACTCCTGGTAAAGGACTGTTATTCCGACGTGATGGAGATCTTTCTTTAGAAGTCTACACTGATGCTGATTATGCTGGATCTGTGACTGACCGTCGTTCTACCACTGGTTATTGTATGTTTCTTTGTGATAACTTGGTGACGTGGAGAAGTAAGAAACAAGATGTGGTTGCCAGATCAAGTGCAGAGGCTGAATTTCGAGCTATGGCTCAAGGTATCTGTGAGTTACTGTGGCTAAAAATCGTACTTGATGATCTCAAAATAAAATGTGAGAGACCTATGAAGTTGCTATGTGATAATAAGTCCGCTATTTGTATAGCTCATAATCCAGTTCAACATGATCGGACTAAACATATTGAGGTCGACCGCCATTTCATTAAAGAGAAACTTGATAGCGGGTTGATTACCACTCCATACATTCCCACTGAACGTCAATTAGCTGATGTATTGACAAAGGGACTTCCTTCAGACAGATTTCAAGAGCTTACGACCAAGCTGGGAATGATAAATATCTATTCCTCAGCTTGAGGGAGAGTGTTGTAAATAATAGTTATTTTCTTATTTATTAATTTATTTGTTGTATTGGGCCAAGCCCATTAGGTCAAGTATTAAGTCTTTTATTCTCTATAAATAGAGAACCCTTTGTACAGATTATTTACAATTCTATAATATATCAGAATACCCTTTTTCAAGTAATACAAAAGCCAGCTTTTATAAAAATACTTCATTTCCCTAAAATGCTTCTCAGAACTTAACTATCTCACAATCATTTTAAAATTGTTATTGCTGAATATTACATTCAGAGCATTGGCTAGTTTGTCTCCAGATTATACACATATAATGTAGATCTCATGGCCTATGCATCCTTCTCTTCATCTTCCAATTTGGGCGAAATAGCAAATGATATAGAAGCCAAAGTTTGATAACTATAAATACAGCCTTGCTATCACAGAAGTTTATCTTTCTTGCACTTCCCTCAATAAACAATCTCTTCATTTTTTTATTTTTTTATTTTTTTGCTTCTTTTCAATGAGTGTCAGACTTTTTGTATTTTGTTTCATCCTCTGGATTTTTGTATTTTTGTTCATCTTCTCTTTATTTTTGTATCTTTTTTGCACAACTTTTGGAAAAGCTATCATATTTCTAGCATACTGAATTATTTTTGATACAGAAGTCCTGTAAGATAACTTAATTCAGCACATGGGGTGGGAGCCCCTGAGATGTCACTGATGTATTAGACAACCACCCTCTCCTCATTTTAAATTATCAAATAACAAAGTTTCTTTTAGTATTCTTTGGATAAATAACTTCACTTCAAATGAAAATATTTAGCTGAATGATAATTAAAGAACTTCCAGTAAAATATTCAGTCTATAAATCTATAGAATGGGGGGAGAAGGAAGCAGAAGAGATGAGGAAGATAATAGCATTAGCTATCCTTGCGTGTGTATTCAGACAATCAATTAGGTTAACAATAAGTGCCATACATGTTGTAAAACCAGATCCATAATATAACACTCAATGCTATAATATAACAATTGGCCAGACAAGTCCATATATAGTTAATCCATTAGCCACTTTTTGAACATTGTTAACAACATTTTGGGTCCAATGTATCTAAGCTGTAAATATTTTTAACAGTTCCGAATTTGTATTCTGACAAAAATTAAAACATCAAAAATTCAGTTCCGAGTCTTTCTTTTTTTTTTTTTCATCACAAAGAAGTTGGAACTAAATTTCAGTAGTAATAATTTCATTTTTGCCAAAACACCCCAGTTTATTGTATAATAGCACAAAACATAAACTACAGTCCTGCATAGAGGTTAGACACTCAAAAATTACAACAGATATTTAAAGTAAAGGCAAAAGCTATTGCATATCTTGTTTTTCTAGGAAGTAGAGCAATATTGCAAGGTTATGTAACTAGTGTTTTTCATACAAACAATTAACATTTAACACCCAGGCCCCAGTTTCTTTTATAATAGCAGAAATATCAAATGGCAGTCCTGCTTGTCGGTTAGACAATAAAAACTCAAAAATTACCAGAGACATATGAAGTCACTAAAAGCTATTGCTCATCATGTTCTGCTAAGAAGCTGAGCAATATGGTAAGAGTATATAACACCAGACCAGGGATGAGCATGACTAACCTGCCAGGATAGAGGTTCAAGCCAAAGATTATCAACAACATCAAAATTTGGTAATAGAAGAGCAATAAGACCACGACCAGCTGCCCAGACAGCATGTGGAAACTTGGTTTCCCTTGTCCACTGAACAACAAAGAAACTCCCACTAGTTAATTTTTTGTAGCAACAGAAATAAACTGAAATTCAACTTCCAAAACAGAGAAACCTCAGACTGCAACTATGTTCAAATATAAAAATGGAAGAAACTCGGTGATTATACATAAGAAGATATTGTAGAAGGCGAAGCTGTGTGCTAACCACATAATAAACATTATGGAGATGATAGTTTCTTACATCAAGTGGAGGGCTCAAAAGCTCTATCCCGTTGCTTATCTGCCCATATGGTTCCATCAAATCAACAACGTTTTGCAGATCTTCTTTTGTCAATGTCAGTCCAAGATGATTCACCAACATTTTGCTTAAATTCTTGACAGGTTTGGTCTTCCGCAGCCATGGGGAGATCATAGAACTGAAAGTCTAAGCAAAGATAGTAAATATATTGCATTTCCTACAGGAAAAACTATATAATATATATAGATATATATGTGTGTGTGTGTGTGCCAAACATGTTGTAAAAGAAACAGATCTAATACAGTCTCAAGATAACAAAAAGTAGAAAGAACAGTCACGGAAAAGTGTTCTTCAATCTGCTTTTTCATTACGATTCTTGATAAAATAAATAAATAAATTAAAACTTGCAAACAAAACAGAAACACTAACATGTCAAATGGAACATAACAGTCATTGGCTCAGTGCTATAAATAAAATTAAGTGTCACTTCATTTAATTGGAGAAGGCACTCAGGGGAAATCTTTCTTTTCTTTAATTCTTTCCTTTTTCTATTCTTTTTTTGGTTTAAGGCAGGTTCCCTAAGCACATATTCTAAGTTAGCATGTTTTCTAGCGTAAATAAATAATAAATAACATATAAACAAATATGAGCAACGTCCATACTAGTTAAATAATATATCAATTCGCTTGATTGCTAATGTCATTTGCAATTGACAGCACAAAGACGCCTTCATTAGGGAGGGGAAGGTTTTAAGGAAGGGAGAGAATTACCTCCTTTTTTTTTAAACCTTCACTCATGAACCCAACAAGAAAAAGTTAACATTTTCCTATTTAAGTTATTGTTAAAAAAATGTACCATAATCAGCAAAATCTTACTGCAAAGAAACTAAAGTAGCTCATCAATTCATCTGTATCCAGAACTTTGCTCCGGAAGGCACTTCCTTCTAAAGCTACAGGAACAAGTTGTAATTCAATAGGCCGTAAAAGAGCTGTCTTCTCGGCAACCTGAAAATGAACAGCTTTTTGAGTCCAAAGTTAGGAATAAACATTTGTCATAGTCAAGAACTGAGAAACTAGTAAACAGCATTTCAGGACAACAGGATTATATGTTGTTGCACTAATTTATTTTTTATAAAGTTGAACTATTAAAATACTAGTTATCAGTTGTGAAGCCAGTGAAGTTCTTCTGAAATATAACTTCATTCTTGATATCCTCCATTCTCATCATTGTTCATTTGCTTTCAATTCTTTAGTCGTATTTATGCGCTCAGGTGCAGTATTCTCACTCTATAAGCTATACCCAAATTCCCACCCACCCCACCACTCTTTCTGCCTTGCTTTAATGGTAATTCTGACCCTCTACTTTTTTAATTTTTCCACTCTCTTAATGAAGTATATAATAGAAAGAGGGAATAAAAAGTCTCTAGAGCAACACTAAACAAAAGGAAAGCCGCAGGCATCAAAGGCCATATTATGAGCAAGGGCTCACTTTCATTGATAAAAAGAAAAAAAAAAAATAACTAGACATAAATAACCAATTATAAGAACTTTGGATTGTTCTGCAGTATTTTCTTGCAAGTCCTTTTAGTTTGTACTTTCCCTGTTATTAGAAAGGAGAATTTAGGATAAACCTTTTTCCAGTCTACATAATCAATAATCTGATCATCCATGGTTTCCTTTGCGGCCAAGTACAATATTTTTTCTCTCTCCGCTTGAGTTGGTCTTTGAAGATGAAATATCCTATCCATGCGACCTGGCCTCTGCAAGGCCTCGTCAATTTGCTTGAGACTTCTTGTAGTAGCCATCAAAACAACCCCATCTTGTTTCTCAAATCTGCATAGCATAACAACAATCAAAATCAGGGAAACTGCACAGTGCTCAGTTATTACTGACATATGAGCATCTTTTTATTCTCAGTCAGTCAAAAGAACCAAAAACTATAGATTACCCATCAAGTTCCACAAGCAGTTGATTAATGAAAGCTTCATGATCCTGATTTTTGGTATGGAGAAACGTGCCACGCACACCAGCAAACAGGTCGAAATCCTCCACAAATATTATCACAGGTGCCTGCACGTAGCTACAAACAAATCAGAAAAATAGTAGATAATCTAGGACTCAAAAGATTAACAAACTCGTGGAACCAGCCTACTATACATGCTGTATAATAGGCTGGATCAAAGTCCAAATGGTTTGACCACTGGTCCAACCAGAAAAACCACTGGTCCAACATGAAAAACCACTCTCCATGAAACCCTAACTTGCAAGGGTAGAGGTGAGGGCAATCCTAATACTCAGTCTTACTCTTGCAATTTTCCAATAGACTATTTCTCATACTTATTAAACTCGGAGAGCAACGCATAGTGGCTGATCCTCCAAACTGCTATAGCGCTATAACAGATAACACTACAACGCTACTGTGCAAAGTGTAGCTAAGTGATACACTAAATTGTACTCCACAAATATAAAACTTAAAGTATGAAAATGTGACATAAAAAACAAATTTGAAGGATCTCAAACTCAAACATAAATGATTTCAAACATTAAAATTCAAATCATAAGCAAATTGAAGGAATTAAAATCACAAATAATGTAACACGACAAAATAAAGTGGCAAAATTATTCAAAATTCAAACTGCCACTTAAGTAAAATGTCAAAATCAAAGAACTTAAAGAACTAATCATAACTGAAATCATGAACATCTAAATCTTCATCTTCACTTTCACTTGTATCTAAGTTGTAAATCTATTCTTTCTACGATGAGAACACTTTTGCAGAAACTATTGTAGCAGCGCAATAGCACCGCGATTTAGCCGCAATAGCGGCCGCTACACTTCGCCTGACCGTCGCAACGCAGTCTGTGGCGGCCGGCCGCTGCACCACAACGCAACTCTGCTATAGCGCACTAAAGCGGGGCTATTCACAAGTATGTTATTTCTCGAATTCAAACCCGTGAACTTTTAGTCACAAAAAAGCAGCTTTTCCACTATTCCAAGCTCGCCCACTTCAGTCCAATCAGAAAAATAAAAGAAAAAATAGATTAAATGTAGGAATGTAAATGTAGCAATACATTCCCATATACTTGTATAATAGCAAAATAAATACACCAAACAATGTTAAAAAATTTCAACCTAGCAAATACATATTTAAAAGAGGAAATAAACATTACATACATGATTTGAGAGAGAATTAAAAAATGTGATAACTTGATTATTATTTCTGGTTTAGCCTGGCTTTGACCTGGTTTACCCAGTCTGGGTTTTGGGAGTTAACCAAACTAGAAGCAGGACCAGTTGATGATTGGACCAGCCAGTCCAGTCCAGTTTCAAAAGTACTGATACAAACATACTGATGAAATATAAGACTGAAATGTATTTTTCATATATTGATTGACACCCAAAGGGATCTTTATATACAGATTACAAGGTAGTTAAGGAGTTGAAGTAATAAATAAAATACACAGTAACCGAAGAGGCATCACACTACTCAAAGGGACAAGTAGCTAGAAACAAGTAGAAAACTCTAGAATATTCTACACTCCCCCTCAAGTTGGGAGATATATATTGATCATCCCCAACTTGCTAATTAAATCCTCAAATATGGGTTTGTGTAATCCTTTGGTGAGAATGTCGGCTGTTTGCTCCTTGGTAGGTATATATGACAAACATACACTACCCTCCTCCAATTTTTCTTTGATAAAATGACGATCAACCTCCACATGTTTGGTTCTGTCATGATGTACAAGATTTTGAGCAATACTGACTGCAGCCTTATTATCACAATAGAGTCTCACAGGTAGAGAATAAGATATCTTTAATTCTCCAAGGAGCCTTCTTAACCAGATTCCTTCACAAATGCCATGAGCTAGCGCCCGAAATTCTGCTTCTGCACTGCTTCTGGCAACAACAGTTTGTTTCTTACTTCTCCAGGTCACAAGATTTCCCCAGACATAGGTACAATATCCTGAAGTGGATCTTCGGTCCATAGCAGAGCCAGCCCAATCAGCATCTGTATAGATTTCTATCATCCTCTTGTGTCCCCTTTTAAAGAGCATTCCTCGACCAGGGGTGTTTTTGAGGTACTTGAGGATTCTATAAACAGCACTAAGGTGTTTTTCCTTAGGAGAATGCATGAATTGGCTAACCATGCTAACCGCAAATGCAATATCAGGCCGAGTGTGAGATAAGTAGATCAGCTTCCCTACCAAACTTTGGTATTGCTCCCTGTCAACATCTTTTCCATCTTCAATTCCCAATTTAATATTGGGTTCAACTGGTTTCTGCAGGCTTGCACCCAAGCATACCTGTTTCTTGTAGCAGGTCTAGAATATATTTCTTCTGAGATAAGGAAATTCCCGCCTTGCTACGAGCAACTTCCATTCCAAGGAAATATTTGAGAGATCCAAGATCCTTTAGTTCAAACTGACTAGCTAAACCCCCTTTTAAAGATTTTATTTCTTCCCAGTCATCACCTGTGACAATTATGTCGTCAACATAAACAATGAGGATAGCAATTTTGCCACTATCGGAGTGTTTAAAAAATAAAGTGTGATCAGTCTGAGCTTGGATAAATCCTTTTTCTTTAACAACACGAGTAAACTTTTCAAACCACTCTCTAGGGGATTGTTTAAGTCCATAAAGAGATTTCTTCAACATGCATACTGAACCATCTCCCTGTTCAAAACCAGGTGGTGGATCCATGTAAACTTCCTCATGTAAGTCCCCATTTAAGAAAGTGTTATTTACGTCCAATTGATGCAAGGGCCAATCAAGGTTGGCAGCAAGTGATAGTAAGACTCGGATAGAGTTAAGTTTGGCAACGGGAGCGAACGTCTCCTGATAGTCTATCCCATAAGTCTGAGTAAATCCTTTGGCAACCAATCTGGCCTTATATTTGTTGATGCTGTTATCTGCATTAAATTTTATTGTGAACACCCATTTGCAACCTACAGTTTTCTTTCCTCTGGGAAGTGCCACGGACTCCCAAGTTCCATTTTTTTTAAGAGCATCCATTTCTTCAAAGACTGCATCCCTCCATTTAGGGTCATTAAGTGCCTCTTGGATATTTTTTGGTATTTTTGTACCGTCTAATATAGTGTTGAAAGCACGAAAACCTGGAGATAACTTTTCATATGAAATGTGATGAGAAATAGGATGAGCAGTGCAAGATCTAGTACATTTTCGAAGGGCAATGGGCACATCTAGGTCAGCTGTACCAGTGTTCTCAAGTGAATTGCTGGAACTAGGACTCGGGTCAGAATCCTGGCAGTCTAGAGGATCTTGAGGAGATTTACGCCTGCTGTAGAATTTTCCCCATTTACCGGGAGGATCTCCAGTCTCTGGTACAATTGTTGTCCTTGTCTCCTGTACATGAACTCCCCCTGACTCCAAAGGTAAAGAAACAACAGATGTTTCCAAGGGTAAAGGTAAAACAGTAGAATTATTTGGATTCCAAGACTTGTCTTCATTTATACCAATAGACTCCCCCTGAAGAGAAGTCGAGGAAAAAAATGATTGTGTTTCACAAAAAGTAACATCCATAGAAACAAAGACCTTTCGAAGAGAAGGTGAGTAGCACTTGTAACCTTTTTTATTAGGAGGATATCCTATGAAGACACATTTAACAGACTTATGATCAAGTTTGGACCTTTGATGTGGAGGAATATGAACAAAAACCACGCAGCCAAACAACTTTGGAGGAAGGGAAGAGAGAGCCCGAAAGGAGGGAAAAGAGCGGGTAAGGCAAGATATGGGAGAATGAAAATCCAGGACGCGAGAGGGCATCCGATTGATGAGATATGAGGCAGTCAAGACAGCCTCCCCCCACAGGTATTTAGGGACGTGCATTGTAGACAAGAGGGCTCTAGCAACTTCAATGAAATGTCTATTTTTCCTTTCAGCCACCCCATTTTGTTGAGGGGTGTTAGGACAAGAACTTTGATGGATAATACCTTGCTTGGTTAGGTAATCACCAAGAACAGAATTAAAATATTCAGTACCGTTGTCAGTTCGCAGGATTTGGATAGAGATCTGGAATTGAGTTTGTACCATAGCATGAAAATTTTTAAAAGTGGCTGCAGCTTCAGACTTATCTTTTAGAAGATATACCCAGCATACTCTAGAATGATCATCAATGAAGGTAATAAACCAACGAGTTCCAGATATATTTTTTTCACGAGCTGGGCCCCAAATATCACTATGAATCAATGTAAATGGAGACGAAACATGATAATCTCTAGGGAAATAAGAAACACGAGAGTGTTTTGCAAACTGACAATCATCACAAAAAAAGGAACTTGGTTTTTTGTTGATAAATAAGTTTGGAAGCAGCTTTTGAAGATAAAAGAAATTTGGATGTCCTAAACGACGATGCCACAACAAAACATCATTACAATCGTCTGATAAACATAAAGAGTGATTTGCAAAAAATCTCTTTTCATGAGAATCTTCTTCAAAATAGTAAAGCCCTTCTTCCTCTCTAGCACTGCCAATCATCAGCCCCGAATCCTGTTCCTGTAAAACACAGGTTTTGGCAGAGAATTTAGCAACACAATGCAATTCAGAGGAAAGTTTACTAATAGAGATAAGGTTACAAGTAAGAGAAGGGACATGAAGGACAGAATTCAGAGTAATATGTTCAGAGAGCTTAATGGATCCCTTTCCCGCAATATTAGAGAAACTACCATCAGCAGTCCTTATTCGTGACTGGTGATAATAAGGGGTATAAGAACAAAACAGGGATGCATTACCTATCATATGATCAGAAGCTCCCGAATCAAGAATCCAACGACTACTATGATCAACATGGAATGCCATACCTTGTTGAGCAACATGACTAGTTGCCTCAGCAGATTGAGACATCACCTTCTGAAATTGCTCATAATTCTTACCGTTTAAACGGTGGTTAGTAATCTGTATAGCTGGGTTGTCTCCGGAAGACGAAGAACAAGGAAGAGGAAAGACACCGGAAACATTACCGGATGATTTTTCAGAATGCTTATTCTCAGCCTCAATATTTTCAACTTCCATTGTTCAAAATAAAAAAAAAACAAAAAAGGAACTCCAATCGTTCAGAACCGAAAAGTCACGAAGAGGAACCAACTGGACCCAGCAAGAAGAGTGCTCCAATCGTGATTTAAACCCCCAGAACAGGAAGAGGAAGGCCAGGCGAGCCGTTCTGTGAAAGCCGCGTGACAAACGGAGGCCGGTAGGGCGGCGCGTGGCTCACACGCGCCGGAGAGGCAGTTCTGCAGTGGCGGCGCGTGGCTGACTTTCCGGCGACGGGGCTGACGTGGGTCGACTCGAAAATGGCTTCTGAGTCCAATGGTGGCCTTGGTTTCGTGATTGGAAGGGTCCAGATATGGTTTCTGAGTTATTTTAATAAACAGTGAAAAATGGAAAATGGAAGGAAACGTGGAGGTTTACAAGATGACCACAGGATAACCTGCTCTTGATACCATGATGAAATATAAGACTGAAATGTATTTTTCATATATTGATTGACACCCAAAGGGATCTTTATATACAGATTACAAGGTAGTTAAGGAGTTGAAGTAATAAATAAAATACACAGTAACCGAAGAGGCATCACACTACTCAAAGGGACAAGTAGCTAGAAACAAGTAGAAAACTCTAGAATATTCTACACATACATATAAACATAATTTGTCTAATATAACTATCAGAATAAATGAAGAATAAAATAAATTGATAGAAAAATTTAGATCAATGCATAGTAACAGCAAAAGTCAAAGGAAACTTGACCACATGAAGTTCATATTAATGGACATGTAGACCAATTTTCCCTTGTGAAATATGCATTTACTTCTGACTAATAACCTATTTGACTCAAATAATTATAGAAGATCTAAACAGCGAAAGATAAGAAAAAAATAAATTTTAAGGTGGTTTAAAGAGGATGACCAAATCTCTTGCTGTCTGAAACAATTCACGAACATTGGATGCACTTTGTCCAACCCACAGCCCAGCCTCTAATTGTTGGGCCTTGATTTCAACAACAGGCACCTTAGCCTCTGCAGCTATAGCCAATGCTAGAGATGTCTTGCCTGTACCCCTCTCACCTACAATAAGTACTCCCTGCAACATAGAAAACAGTTCCCAGGAGCTGATCTTAGCAGTTGATAGAGGCATTTTCAAATCATGTCGTGCATGCAACAGTTGTTATATGATGAATGGGCCAGCAAAACTTTGGAAACACATTCAACTACAACTTTACATTGTTATGACATGAATGGGCCAGTGCAACAACCAAAGGCCATTCAACTACAAGTCTATAATAGCTTGTATCTTATTGTTACACGATTATGTTACCTCCAGAAAAAGTTTAGTATATATGTTAGACCCCAGCACAGGGTGAGAAGGATTGGAAAGTGTACACTAGAAGTAACAAAAGCAAGGAGTAGTTAGGTAGTTTAAGTAGTAATTAGGAATGCAGATCGAGAGAGAAAATTGGTTAGCCCACCTCTGGTTGTTAAATAGGAGGTTAGGGGGGCAGAGGGAAGTTAGGCAGAAACGCGGTTAGTAAACTGAATCTGGTAGATTCAGTTGAGGAGGGGAAACCCTTGAGAAGAAGATCTCTCCTTGTTCGTGCCATTCTCAATAAAAGAAGTTAATCACCATTCTCCATTCTTTCAATTCTTGTGTTTTTATCTGTTTCTTCCCCATTCTCCCATTAGACCTTGATTTTCCTGCCTCAAGAACTCTTAACAATATGACAAGTTTCCTGCAAAAAGCAACTTGTATTCACAAAACATGCGCGTCTATGTAACCCCAAAAAGTATGGTTAAATCATTTGTTCAATTGACGGACCAAATATATTTACACTTTACACGAATCAAAGAATGATGAAAGGGCAATCTTATCAAAAGCTTCCACACTAATACTAGAGTAGACAACAAGTTGCAAACTTCCTACAAGATTGTTCTTTTGTGAAAGAAAATAAAAAGGAATGGATAATCAACTAACGGGTATTATCCAAGCAGGCTGCTATATATTATATCAAGGACTCAAAATGATGATGAGAACTAGGAGAGCTTAATGGACTTAAAGGAAAGCAGGGAACCTCTGAACGAATGGTATACCAATATATGTTGTTTTTATGAACAATAAAATGATTAATTCGTGAAACTCATTGGAAAACACAAGAAACTGACATTATGGAAGAATGAAACATGCAGAAAAGGATGGAAGAAAGTGCCTCAATTTTTTTTTCCACTTTTTAATCAGAGAGAGGAGTTGTAGGGTGAAAGAAAATTGAGATTTTTTAACTTAAAATCCTAATATCTTTCTTACCCTTCATGTAATTTCAAGGTTTCTTTCATCAACAACAAAAAATTCTTAGGTAAAGGGAAGAATCTAAAAGATGATTAAGAAAATGCTTATGTCACGATTTTGCAACAATATGTTAAAAGATTTTGTCATGTAGAAAAATCTTCATGCTAGGTCATACCCGAGGCGCCCGCGCACCCATTTCTTGAAATGCCCTTGGATTTTGCAAAAATGCCACAACTTCATTGATCTCCTCTTTCATAGACTCAATGCTAGAAAAGTTCTTCAACGGTATTGGCGGTTTCTTCACCCTCTGCAGAATAGCTATAAGTCTTACAGTTTTTTCCTAGATGAGAATATTATACAGCATTAAAACAGAAAAAAAAAAAAAAATTATTGCCAAGTTTTAACCTTCATCTGTTCGAAAGCTGTCTTTATGGGATCAAAGCCATCCTTTCTCTTCTGTTTGATTCTTCTCAATTTTTCATTAATGTAATACTTCTGCAAGTTCGCAAAGAAAGTAATAATGTCTAATTAAAAGTTGAATCACAGAAAAATCATTATGCCAAAAACCATGTACATCATTCCATCTAAAAGAAGATAAAGAAGCAGATAAATGAAAGAAACAGCTACAAACTGTACATTTAGCCCCGCCCCCATAAAAAAAAAGGGATAATTGATAAAATGTAAAATATAGGATCATAGTGCTGAAACAAGAAAAATTAAAACTACCATATTTGATGATAAAACGACCATATGTGGTTTTTTGGATAAAAGAACTCACTAAAATGGAAATTAGCAAGGACCAACTCTCTTAAAGCTTCAGCTATTACGTTGAGCAATGGTTTTAAACTTCAAACATGCTCCCTCACACAAGAGTGCTTTGGGCTGAAGCATGGACAATGAACAAATCCACTTTATATGGTGAAAATTTTAATTTAATAGAAAGGGGCAATACGGATTGAGGCTCTCATACAATGTCAATGATCAACTCTCCTAAAAGCTTAATCTATTAGTTGGAGGCAGGCCCAAGAATGATATTACATCTAGCAAAAATAAAATACACAAGAGGACAAGGTATCCTCCAAAAACAAGCCAAAGAACAACAAAAACAACAAATTGGGGGAAAAAACATAAAATATCAGTTTATAAGATATTTATAATTTCTTTGCTTATTTGACACGGAAAACACCCCTTAAAAATGTGCAGAAACCACACAAGAATTGTTAGAAAGTGATTCTGTCCCAGAAGATTTCAATTTTAGATACTAAAAGGAAAAAACCTTTGTTATGACAAACAAATGTTTTAGGATGATGTGAAGTGATAAATCTTCAGCTAAAATTCTGGCATTAGCCAATCCAGAGCATGAATGAAAATAGTGCCATTAGAAAATGTGAATGACCCACATGTATGCTAGTGGTAAAGATAATAGTGATTGGACCAAATAATAGTTTGAGATACCAACGATGGTGGTGTTTAGTGGTGGAGCGAGGATAAAAGTTGAGGAGGAGCATGTTAAGGAGATGGGTGAAGATTGGAGAGGTAAAAATAGGTGATGGAGTTAAAGAGCAGGAGACCCAGAAGAAGAGAAACATAGGTGAAATAGTCAGGAGCAGGGAAGGATTCAGAGGGAGGAGGTTTCACTGACAGCAAACTTACCTCCTCTGGCCCCCACTTGTCTCTGCCAGTAGTGGAGTGGACGTAGTGATGACTACAATGAAATTGGCATTGGCCTACTTCAAGTCAGCAATAAACCTATAAACCTGTATCACGACTCTGTTTTTAAATAAAAGAAATATTATTGAAGAGAAGAAAGGAATACAAAATAGAAGCAGACAGTACTAGGTACGAAACCATGATGGTTGAAGGGCACTAGGTCAAGGAGATTGAAGCAGTAGCCATTGTGAATGTGACTTGAGTTGAGGGTGGCATGATGGCAGAGAGGCTGTAAGTAAGACCAAGCTTATTAAAGCAGTATCGATGACAATAACACAATACATACTGAACCTTCCAGAATTGAAATAATTCAAGAATCCTATTATGTACCACCACCAAAAGTAAAACCCAAATTCTTATCAATATAAGTCAGTAACTTTTTATATTGCAAATTAGAGGCTTTGTTTAAAACCTGAGCCCAATAAAATTCAAATAAACACATTTTTTTATCAGTTAGTGAACCAAATTGAAAGAGCTACTAAAAATGAATGTGGCTTCTTTTTAATACTTTCATCTTCAACTGTAAGCAATTAGTTTAACTTGAGCATAACACTTGTGTAACACAATATAATACCCAAATACAAAATCAAACATGAAATAAGTTCGAGACACACAAATGTAGAATAAGATTGTCGGAATTCTCCAAACCACAATAACCATTTGATAATTAGGCAGAAATTTAAAAAATAAAATGCCAGATGCAAGAACAAAGTAATACCACTCGCCGCAACTTCTGCCTATTTGGATCTCTTCGCAAAGGTCCAAAACCAATAAGGCTTGGAATTCTTCTCCTCATAAATTTGAACACATGAAACAAAACAAACCCATATATAGCAGTCCTGATGAAAAACCCAATAAACCATTGACCTTCTTCATCGTCTGTTTGTCTAGATCTAAAATTCAATTCTGCCTCTGATTGCCATTTCAAGTACCATGTGGAGTCCACTGTCTCGTATATTTCATCTGGCCATGCCATCCCTAATCGTATCCTCACCTGTATCACAATGACAACAAAGGTTTAAAAAATTCATTACTCAAAACCAATCACCTGAATTAGCAAATGGCAAGTTTTAAGATTAAGTATACCGGGTAAGGGACTAAAAACTCCACAATAGGAAACCCTATCACCATCATTATGTCATCAGTTGTATCCTTGATTTTCTTAAAGATCCAATTTCTCGCATACAAGACAACTTCAGAATTCCACAAGCCACTCAAAAACCAATGAGACACCCTTAATGTCAACAGAAATTGTTGGCGTAAATCTAACTCTGAGAAAGGAATCCACATTAGATGAACAGTTGTAGGAATACCACAGGCAAGCATTTTCATATACAGCCCATCGAATCCCCCAAGATCTTCAAAAAGCATTTCGAATTCCTGAAATAAGAAAGCATACTAATAATTACCACAGAAGAAATAAAACAAAAATAGATTTCTCAATAAGAAAATGGATATATAGAGCTATAACCCTTATGTCAACGTAAAATTCTTCGTCCTCCCCCTTTAATGCAATATACATGGCACCCCAATCATGCCGAATCCGAACATGCTCGATTAGCTTTTTCGAGACAGCATAAGGAACAGCCACTGGATCCATCTCCCATCTATTTTTCTCTTCGTTGTACCAAGACCTTGACACTACTCTGTCTCGGTCCAAAAGAATCCTTTCCTGCAATCGACATTTAGCAAGTAGTGAAAGGAACACAGTAAGCCATATTACAAAAAAGTTCAATCCTATTTCATGCACAAAAACATATGTGAACAGTACTATATCCACCATCAACACCTCAGACACACACGAACAATAGCTTCTGTTCTATGGTACTCCATCGATGTGTGGAGAAAGAAGCGCACACAACAAAATCAAATATAACATACAAGATAATCACTTAGCAAGACACAAATTATTATTAATGGATAAAGAAGGAAATGAATTGCATCTCAATATGAACTGCTCAATCCCCACACTATTGAGTTAGCGGTATCTATGACAAATTTGTATTTCTTCAATTCCAAAGAACCATTCAAAGAAAAACACAAAATTAAGGTGCTCAAGAGTCACTAAAAAAATAAAGAATTGTATTTTGTGCATGTGAAGATTCACTCAAATTGACATCCATAATCACTTGTACAATACTTGGTAGTGCTCCCTTATTCGTGCCAATATGATTCAAAATATCTTTGGAGAAACCAAACATCAAAATTTAAAATAACCAACCCAAGATAAGGTCCTTTACTATCTAAATTATCAAATAAAAAATTGAAGTTTATGGTTAAACATATATAACACAGTTGATGCATCACTAAAAATACAATGACAAAGTGGAATCGAACCTGTCTTTCAGCCACATATTGTTTGCCAAACTCAGCATCTTTTATTAAATTCCGTTTTAAATCTGCCTTAGCTTCTTCACGCCATTTCTTCCAACCATGGTACAAATGGAGACTAATAGCTTTAGGAACCACAACCTCTTTATTTCCAAATGTCCACTTTAGCTCAACTTCAGGAAAACCCTTAACCACCTCTTCTTCAGGTGAGTAAATAATACAGCGCTTTTCCTTGCCAAACTTCTTCATATTTTTTCTTATCTGAGCCTCTAAATTCCTTTGCATCTCCCATGAGTCTTTAAGACTTCTTTTTAAACGTTGAGCAAAATCAATAGAGTCTTGATGAAAGAATGATCCAAGATCTCCATCATCCAAAATGCTAGGAAGAATCATTTGTTCTAAATGTTTTCTTTGCACAGTTTCCAAGTCTTTTTGAATGACAAATTTTGACAACCTGGTAACTGAGCCTGTAGGCGAACTGCAACCACAGACAAATGTTTGCATAATGTTATACAACAAATTGACAAATAAAGCTGTTGCATCCAAAATTGACAACAAATTTCATCACTGTCAAATAGATTATAATAACAGTATTATATAGCCTTAATCATAAGATTTGAGAATTCATACATAATTTCAAGATATAAGGTCCCATCCCAGTCAAAATTTAAGGGCAACTTCCCCCTTATATTCAGTCCCTCGGCCAGGTAAATTCAAAGACAAAATAAACAACAGTAAGAAGAGGCAGCAAACATCCCAAAATCTTTAAAGCGTAGAGAAGTTATACTGAAAAGCAGCCTAAAATTTCTAATTATAAGCATCCTTAACTAACGGACTCAACTCAAGCCACACAAAACCTTGCCCAGGTGCAATCCTACCCTGATCTCCACATTCATCTTATTACACCAAGAAAACCAGAAGATAATAATTGAAATAAATCAGAATTAATGAATACATAAACACGTCACAACAGAACAATGCATTCAAGTTATCAAGGCATGTGACCTTTCAATGTCCTTCTGTCTCATTTCTTGTTTAAATCTCTCCACGAGCTGCTCACACTCCCTCTCTATGAAAGAGATTTCCCTTACCCCATAACTCAACGCCACAGTCTCCTTCCTCGAAATCAAGTCCTCAATTTCACCAACTCCCTCCCATATCCCATTGTATTCCTGCTCCAACTCTTCCACCCTCTGCTCCAACCTCTCCATCCTTGCCTTCTCTTCCTCATTCACCACTTTCACCTTCAATTTATCATACTCACCCTTCGCATTCAGTATTTCACCAAGAATCTCCCCTGAACGCTTCACCAATTGCCCCTTGTCTCTCCTCAATTTCCTCAACTCCGGGTAAAGCCTCCCCATAATCTCTCTTCTCGATTCTTCCTTCTTCGTTTTCACGGCCTTCAACACCAGCTCCACCTCGCTCACATCCCCATTCCCTTTCCTAACCTCTTCTATGCTCCTCAACAAACCCGACACTGTCTCCAACAACCTTTCCGTGCAGTCAGAGTACTCGTGACTCTTCACTCCTTCTTTCTCACTACCTTTCTTCTCCGAAACAGCCCAAGGTGCTGCAATTGCGAGTGCATGACCAACTCGGAACGTTCCGAACGCAGAACAACCAACAGCGAAACAAAATAATGCACGTACAAGCTGCTTCACCAAGCATTCGGATATGCTTGGTTCCTCTTTCTCATAACTAACATTGTTGTTGTCGTCTTTTGAAACAGAGGGTGTGGATTTCGCAGCGAAACTAATTGGTGGAGTGGTGGTAATAGAAGAGAGTGAGATTAGGTTTATTCGCGGTCTTTTGGGAGAGTTAGGGATGAATCTTCGATTTGGAAAAGGACGAATCCGAGTGAAATGTAAGCGAAATGGTGATTGTGATTGTGATTGAAGTGGAAGACAAGTGAGAATGGAGTCCATGATGGAGAAAGGGTTGAGTTTAGAGGAGAAGATGAATGAGAGAGGAAGAGATATACATTGATTGAATTGAAGTAACTGGGAGGTGGTAGCCTAACCCCGTTATCCTTCAAGAGCTGTGCAACTATGAAGATGAAGGGGTTGGGTTTAATATGTTCAGCGAAGAACAAGAGACTCTTTGTCAACAGACTCAACACTGAGTTTTTTTTTTTTTCTAAAAGAAATTAATAGGAAAATATAAAATTATTTTCACTCAAATTAAAATCACGTCGTTTTAGAATTATAAAATTAAAAAATTACTTCTAAAAATAGGTATTCTCGTACAATTTTTTTAGTATAAAATATGAAAAAAAAAATTACAACATAAATTTGTATAACACAACGATGATAAAACTGTTTGGCTTCTTAAAACGTATCGTGAGGGAAGAGTTCCGGAGATAAAAGCTCAAAATAACGATATTTTAAATTATAAAATTATAATGATAAAAATTAGTATAATCTTATATATTATAATTACAAAAATATTTTAATTTCTGTCTCAAAATAATGTTTTTTGGAGTAATCGGACATAATTTTTCTCTATTGATCAGAGAAATCATTTACTCTATATTTAATTACAAATATTCGTAAATATTACTAACCTATATAAAAACAATATTCAAGATATCACTGATACATTTTCAATTTTTAAGTCGGCTGTAAAGTTTAGTGAGGTTAAGAGAGCTCATATAAATTATTGCTTATATGAGTAGGGGTAAAAGTGGGCCGGGTCGACTAAATGGTGGTAGCTCAATTGATGCACACGAGCTAAGTAGGTGGGGATGAGAGTATGTATCGAATCTTCCCAGTATTATTTTTGAGAGGGGTTTAGAGCCTTAATCCTGGACCCGCCCTGAATTGGAATAGTTGCGAAATAATGACCGATTGAAATATTTTCAAAAAGAAAGTGGGCCGGTCAGTCTACGGCCTAGCCTATATCAGGTCATACTTTGTCTATTGTATATAGTCAAATAAAACATACCCGAACTTTTAAAGAAGCCTATTTATAAAGTAGGTTATAAGCTCTCTTTTTTTACATGCATGCCTATAAGACTACAAGTCAGCCTATATCATGTTATTTATTTTAAATTAAATATAATATTATTATTTATAGTAGTATCAAATAGTGATAGTTTAATTGGTGCATGTGAGCTAAGTAGGTGGTGGAAGGACCTAGGTTCGTTCCCTGACCAATATTTCTTTGAGAGTTGCATAAGATCTGTATCAATCTCTACAGCACTATAAAAATCAACATTATTGATGCATATAGTTCTAACTTGGCTGAAGATAGTATCCAGGCTTTAATATACAACGGAGATTGGCTACGTAATAGGTATGACTTGAAGAAAAAACAAAAGGTATAAATTTAATCAATTTAAATTATTTTATAATTTAATTATATTCGATTAAATTTTAATAGAAATTTGACTTTGTTTTTATATAAGAAGAACCAACGTCTCAGTATGTGAGATTGCCTATATGAATTTATTAAAAGAATTTTTGTTTCTTAATTTTTTTTTTATTGTTTATTCTTAATTTTTGCTTTCTACATTTACAAATTATCTGTCAATTTATATAATCTTGAAATTATATTTATAGGGAAGAGAAGATGAAGAGAAGTTTTTGGCTACTACAAGCATCATGATTTTTTTGTTGGATTTATGAAGTTATTTTAATTTACATAGTATAGATTTGTTTGTTGGATCTGATGAAATATATGTTATTTAGTTTGAACATTTTACTTCTGAAAATGAATTAAATGCAGATTGCGATGAGTTTTGTTGTGATTCATTGTTCTGTTTGGACGTTGAAATTGAGATTTTTGTTTTAGCAACAGAATTTGAGTATTTTGTGAAGTTGATTCATTATTATGCTTGGAAGTTAAAAATTAACAGGCTAACGGGTCAAGTCAGGCCATTTGTTTTTTTTATAAACGGGCAAAGTCAGGCTAAAAGTTAGACTCGCACTAGGCTCGGGTCAAGTCAAATTGAATTTTTTTGACATAAGTTTAAACTTTTCGAGGCAGCGTAACTCAACTCACTTTCACCCTACTTATGAGTATTATCTTTTTCTTATAGTTGTTGTTGCAATTTCATCCAAAACTCATAAGGTTTTTATTATGAGTATCATTTTTATTTTTTTAATCATATAATAATTATAATTTATAAGAAAAAATATGTGTTACAATTTTACTCCGTATAAAGTTTTTCCGGTTCTACCATTTAAGTTAATTAAAAAATTATATTTCATATATACATATTGTTATAATTAAGTCATTTCATAAAATAAAAACAAAATTCCAATCAACTCATTCATTATTTTATTACTCAAGTTCGAATGTTGTTGGATCGAGGGAAGAAAAATAATTATAACTTGAAGCAATTTCTTTCTACTCAAATTATCTCTCTCTATCTCTTTACAAATTAAAACAAAGAATCCATTCTAAATCATTTTCCACTTTCCAAAACCACGAATCAAAACATTAAATTTTATCCAAAATCAGAAAATTTCAAAACTTGCCCCTTTCCAAAACACTAAAGTCACTTCACATAGTTGAAATTCATTGCGTCATTTATTAAAGAATTTTTAACTATTAGTATTTTAGAGAGAATTTTTCAATTCTGATCCCACTCATGATGATTTTAATTTGGGTGCAATGAATTATATTGTATCTATCATAATTTAGGTTCACTAAACGTTATACCTGGGAGTTGTCTAGATTATTAAAGATACACAATTAGATACCTTTCAATATATAATATGATCAGTTAATTAAAACAAATGTATTAAAAACTTGGGGGGGGGGGGGGATTTTGTTGTCTTATGATCTATATGGTTTGTCTGGATTAGTTTAGTAATTGATAAACTAGTAAAAAAATCTAAAAATAAAAAAATAAGATACTATGTGTTCAGATATACCCGAAGCTAGTATTTCTATCTACATGTGCGCAATAGAGATGTCTGATTATGATAAATTAGTATCTTCAGCCAATAATCAATGAGTAATAATCAAGGGTTGCGATGTGTGTGTGAGTCACCTGCAAAATAGATAGAATGTGAAGATATACGAGTTATCTGAGTGTGAAGGCTGAAGTAATAACGATAAGCCTTGTGAATAAAATAATGAAAAGATTATCACTTTTTCACTAAAGCCCATATATAGATGAATCATAAAGAGATTGTGTATATAATAGATGGTTTTGGAGGTGACTAGTGGTATCATAATGTGATTGGTGGATGGTTATATGTGGTGGAGGGAAGTTAAGAGGAAATGATAAAATGAAATGCTTAACCTGTGTCTTCAAGTGGGAAAATGGAGTTGGGACTATTTAACTAATCTAGAACACCATGTTATGTATAGTATTATATATATATATATATATATATATATATATATATATATATATATATATATATATATATATATATATATATATATAATATTATTGTTATGCGTGTTACATTGCACCTCAAATTTGTGATATTTGTATAAGTGATTATTGTAATTTTTATTCTCTGTGTTGGACATAAATTTAGTGTACATAATGAAATGGTTTATATGAGTTATCAGTCCATGTATTAACAATGTAGGAGGGACCTGCTTTGGTTACTCTGAGTATGTTAGGTGATAGTTAGTGCCTTTGTGACCATGACTTCTGATTGTCTTGTCAAGAGGTTCCCATTGTGGAGAAAATTTTAAGCGGTCCCGGTAGATATAACTTTCTATGGTCCATCCAATAAAAAGCTTACACATAGATTCATTTATCCACGTCAGTATAGTGGCTTGTTTTTTAATTTTTTATTTATTAATAATATTTTATTTCATTTCCCTCCTTTTCTTTCTATTTTTCACTCCCGCCTCACATCTGTTACTCTGTAAATGAAGTTTTCGATTTCTTTCTCATCTTTCTCATTGTTTTCTATTCCCTTCCAAAGCATTCAAAGAGTAAGAGGTGAGTGTGATCATTGTTAGCTGGAATTTTTTTTTCTCATTTGTCAGAGCATTTACCGCTATCGATTTACCATTTTGGTGCATCAAGAGCGAATGTGAACCTTAGTCCTGTGGGTCTTCCTTTGCGCCCGGTAATCATTACCTTCCAACTCCTTTGTACTTTGGTGCTTCATATTGGATTATGAACAACATATCTACGATCAATATTTAACCAGTGATTGAAATAGCTAACTGTGAGTTATCACAAATTACATGTTAACTTTGTTGGATTCATTTTTTATGATTTCTTTTATATAGGATGAACCTTGCTTTACAGAACTTAAAGTTTGATTTTCAATTCATCATTAAAAACAAATAGCAGCATTTGTTGTTTTAGCATTTGGTTTTTATTTTAAGCTAACTCTTTTATCGGATGGTAATCTTTTTTTTAAGCTAACCTTATGCATCTTTCATGGCATCATTGTTTTCCTTGTTTGATTATGCAATAACTTTTGTTATTTCCAATTTAATTTCCATATATATTGTAAATTTATCATCAATAAAGCTAAGGTTCTGACTATTCGAGCATTCTATATTCTTTTCCTTGTTTTTATGCTTGTAATTTATTTCTATTATGGAATGCCTTTCCGATATGAAGTTATGATACAGGAATTGTAAGTATATTGTTTGGGTTTTGTATGGAGTTAATTATCATCAGTTTATTTGCCTGAAATGTTTTACAGTGCTAGGGACTCCTTGTGCTGCAGGTTTGTATGTGAAGTGCATAGGTACTCATATATTCTGTTAGCTGTTGTTCCTCTCAATGCTATATTCCTATACTAGCTTGAGTTGTTCAAACTTTGGTGAGGAATTTTGATTTAAATTAGATTTTTATTTTTATAATATGCTTGTTTGTGACACTTTGTTTTGTTACAAGTTAGTTAAATCTGGTGATCAGAAGCAATATTTTGTGACAATTGAAGAAAGTGCAAATTGTTCTATTGAATATACTTGCAGAAAGTTTGAACCAGTTGGCCTCTTATGTCTTCATGCACTGAAAGTACTTAACTTTCACAATATTTTTCAAATATCGACTCAATATATCTTGAAGAGGTGGACAAAAAATGCTAAAGATGGTTTTAGTATAAGCAACAATGGCAAACAGGTTTGCAACAATGGTAAACAAGGAATAAATTCCCGTATGAGTCAAATAATGAAGAAAGCCATTTATTTTGCACCAAAGGTGCATTGACAGATGAAACAATCAAAATGGCTGAAGATCACCTAGAGCATGATATAAAAAGATTGGAAATGATTTTAAAAAATACTAATGGCATGATTGATAAGACCGCAGTTGACTGTAATACTAGTGATGAAGAGATAAATGAGCATAACACATTAAATTCAAAAAAAGTCTTAGATTCGCAACGTGTTCAAGCAAGGGGAGTTACAAATGCTAGACTCAAAAGTCAGCTGGAAAAGAAAAGGTGCAAGAGACATCAATCACAAGCTCTTGGTAAATCTCAAGGTGCTAATACATCTAAATCTCTAAGACATAATCATGTTGATACATGTACAATGAACCAATTAATTAGGATCATACTATTTATTTATTTATACGTGATTTTATGATTATTGTTGTTATCTTCTTTTGTGACTTAGGAAAAGCTTCAAGTACGACAGCTAAAGATTATAGCACTTCTTATATAGATCTATCATCTTATGATTTTCGATATATCTCTCCATTGGCAAATGCTAATACAACTCCACCACCTTATTATTTTCCAAATGTCTCTCAAGTGACAAGTGTTAATACAACTGCACCAGTTTTCTGTGTTCCATATATCTCTCAACTGTCATATACACATGTATTATTTTTTATGATACTATTGTAGCTCCTGCAAATGATGACTGAAGATGTGCTTCATACTGGTTGTGATTTTATATCATAGAAGACTAACTTATTTCACTTTTTGGTTACGAACTCTTTTTTAGGATGAACATAACTTAAGAGCTCGTAGAAGTCCTGCAGGCTACCATGGAGGTTGACATGCAATATTTTAGAGGTGGTGGAAGCTATCATGCAAGCTTTTTTGAATGGTAGGAGGTCATGCAAGCGTTTTTTGAATGGTATGGAAGTTTTTTTGGAATGGTAGAAGGTTTAGCAAGCTGTCATGCAAGCTTTTATGAATGGTATGATGTCTTGCAAGCTGTCATGCAAGTATTTTTTGAATGGTAGGAGGTTTTGCAAGCTATCATGGAAGCTGTCATGGAAGTTTTTTTGATTGGTAGATAGCTGTCATGCTAAACTGAACAGAGACAAGACATGATTTGTTTACATGTAAATGTTGCTAAAATGTCAGTTCATGCACATAACTTATACAGATATATGATGACTGGAGATCTAGGAGATCTTTATTTATATATTTTTACACCTGCAACAATGATAAATGAGGAATATCCTCAATTTCCCATATTCTTGGCTCCTTGGATACAAAATATTGGTTGGAAATTAAATTTAACAACATTCATGTTGAATGGTGTCATACATTTAAAAGGAAAATTCTAAGCTTCAATACTGTTACAAGATCCATTTATTGGACAATATGTCAAATGACATGTATTGGACAATGTTACAAGATTTTGAATCATATTACAGTTGTACATTATGTTTTTGGAAGAAAAACTTCCTTTTTTACATCGATCTCTAAATACTACACCTAAGAAGACAAAAATTCTACAAATTCTGCTCCAATAGCTAGTGGTAGACTGATAACATTTACAATTTCCTTGAACTTGTATGTAAATCTTGAACTTGTGTGTAAATCTTTTCTGCATTGTAGAATGATCCCTTCATTCTCGTAGTTTTCAAAAGGAAAGCAAGTCTCTAGGAAAATTCGAAGTATCTTTCATCTGATATAAAATAGGGAGAAAATTAGAACAAGCAGAACATATAAAGGACATTTGACTTTAAAGCTCACATCAATATCCAACAAGTTGCTGCAAGAGCCGAACCAACCAACAGTTGCACATGCACCATCATATACACATGGTCAGGTTGATCAACCCATAATATAGAACTCAAAAGCAGTCAGCAACCAAAAAGTGACAACAAGAGTATTCATTCAATAATAAGGATGGAGTAAAACACAATGATGGAAAAGAAAAAGGGCAGTACAATATGGAATTGCAAAACAGATGCAGTGATATTTCCGTCTGATTCTTGGAAGACAAGGAAGGATCATTTGTTTGACCAATTCAAATATATTTGCAATTGAAGTCACTACTACAAAGTAGCCATTCAGGTATATCAGACTTCTTGAGGATTACATAGCCTTAGAGCTTAAGACAGTTAGTCTACTCTAGCCAAGGATTTACAACCAGAAATGTTTAGAATTAAGGCATGATTTTGCTATGCACTATATGGAGTAACATTTATCAATACGGCAAAATGCACAACCAAAAGTGAAGTGCTGATGTCAATAGCATCAGCAACACACCATTAAGAATTGTTACGTCCAAAAATTTATCATTGTTAGGGTCTGAAATCACTAAGAAACCTTGATGAGAAAACTGTCAATTCCACAGCAAAATATTACAACATCAGATGCTATTGTATTCTAAATATATTTACAGCAATGCAACCAGAAATAGTTCACATATATATATATATATATATATATATATATATATATATTCTCCATCTGAGGATTAGGACACGGATGAAAATCTTTCTTAGCAGATGCATCTCCACCCTTGGCCGAACCCTTGGTATCATCCTGGCATACCACAATTTGATAAGCCATAACCACAATGTATAAAAACTCGTTAGAAAAAGTGTCATTACACATGAACAATCACAAAGTGGAATAGCTATTTATTTATAATCACCTCAGTCTGCAACATTCCCAATAGGCCAACGAGAAATACATACAAAAAAAAAACATTAGTGAAAAGTAGAGTTTAAGTGCAGAATGATGTATTAAATGTAAATGTAAATTACCTCTCTGTATGCGGCGAGGTAGATCTTGAGAGGTTCAATATAATCTTCGAAACCAAGAGTGGCCATAGCCCAAAGTAAATCGTCGTTGTCGATGTTCAAATATGTTTTCTTTCTGGCATTTATCGCTCGCCTTGCGAAACATTAAGAAGATTAATTCATTCAACCGAATCACAATTAAAGCACGAACGAGTGAATGAATTTTGGTTAATCAAGATAAGAAAAAGAAGAAGAAGCGAACTCGCTGGTGAACTCAGAAAAGCATTCTTGTACGGTCTCCTTTGGAAGGTACCGTTCCTGCTCTTGGAAACTGGGTCGAGGGCTGTGGTCGCCGCTCTCGCCGCCTGGACTAGCCGGAACATCGACCATATTAGCTGGAACTCTAATCGACGAAGCGAATCGGTGAACCAGAAAAACATAGTGAAATTTGGCGATTAGAAAAACCCTAGAGAGAGAGAGCGAGAGAGAATAAAAAGAGAAATTGAAAGAAGGGGATTGGTTAATGGTTAGTTAATTAAGGGGTTACATGAACAATGAGATAAAAGAGAAAGAAATCGAAAACTTCATTTACTGAGTAACAGACGTGAGAAAGAAGAGAAAGAAAGCTATAAAAAAATTAAAAAACCAACAACTATACTGACGTGGATAAATGAATCTACGTGTAATCTTTTTATTGGATGGACCATAGAAAGTTATATGTGTCGAGATCGCTTAAACCAGCCACTATACAATCGCTTAAAAACATTGTAAATCTTTTTTTTTCCGTATGGATTTCTCGTTGGCCTATTGGGAATGTTGCAGACTGAGGTGATTATAAATAAATAGTTATTCCACTTTGTGATTGTTCCTGTGTAATGACACTTTTTCTAACGAGTTTTTATACATTGTGGTTATGACTTGTCAAATTGTGGTATGCCATATAAAACTATTTGTGTCCCATGTGTAACGTGTGTCAATTGATTTAATTAATAATAAAATAGGCTTTATGGTAATTGACGTTTCGCATCAATGGTAATTGACGTTTTGACGTTTCGCATTAATGGGAAGTTACATGAGTTATTTGAAACTCCGTAACTAGTGACACGGTTCAGTTATATAAAGAGAAAATGGTGAGTCTCTGATAATGATTATTTCTCAGAAATCTCTCCTTCATAGTCTGCCCATAAAAGTTGTATCAGATCCCTGTCATAGACGATACAAGGAAAACAGAGGGTAAAGACTCTGAGAAACAACCTTCCATCATCAAAGTTCTTCCGCACTAATGGAGAAAATTATGCTCTTATGTGAAAATCATGAATTCTAAAGATCCCGTGTCATGTTCTTGAATGGGCATTATTGAACATGTATTACTGATTTACTGATGAAATTACTTACATGTGCTATCAGAGCATGTGTTTAAGAATTTGTGTTTTTCCATAAATAATTATGAATGAATTTCTGATTCATGAAAAGTTAGGGTTTTGAAAATAAAATATTAAAAGTATTGAATTTCTCGGTTTTGAAAAGATTTTCTCGTAGCCATTCGGTTTATGAATCTGTGCATTTCGATTTTCATTTCGATTTGAAATGCATGGACAAAGTAATGCACTTGTGAAAACATGATGTCACTGTGCGTTGAAAGAATGAAATGTTGAATGTTATATTATCTCGGTATTCGATCAATTCACAAAAGAACAAACATATTCAATGGCTACTTGTATGAATAATGAATGGATATTGTACGAAAAGCATTCGTGTGCAAATTTATGAATTGACTTTCTTTAATGGACAAATTTGCTTTTCAAGTTTGCCATTCGTTAACTGATATTGATTACAGTGCATAATGGCTTTTTGTTAACCGTGAAGCAAAATTTTTGAATTGCCTTTGTTTATGGACAAAAGGACAAACCGAATGCAAATTTTCTTTATACATATTAACTTGAATGAAAATTTGAATGGTTTCCAAAGAAGCACGGACACTTGTAAAAACAGGAAGAGTCGGATCCGACACGCTCCGACACGGTGTCGGACACGCGGTTGACTTTTTCCGACACGTTGACCATTCCGACACGCGAATTTGACCGTGTCCGACACGGTCAAATGGCATTTTCGTAATTTTTTTATATTTTTTTTATTTTTTTTTTTTTTTTTTTTTTTTTTTTTTTTTTTTTTTTTTTTTTAAAAAAAATTATTTTTTTTAAAAGTTAAAATATATTAATAAAGCTTCAACCTGATCATATCAATTTTATCTTTTTGTCTTTTTTTCCCTTAAGTAGATAAGAGATCATCTCAGCATCATTGTTATCAATTTCTATCACGCTCTTGTTGTATCTTCTTCTCTCTGATCTCTCTCTAATATGATTTGATCTCTCTATCTGATATTATATATCTCTCTCATCCGAGTTCTTATTTTTTTGATTAAAGCTTCCATCTTTATAACGTATTGATGGGTATTATTAATTCAGTTTCATTTTTTTGTTAAATTATTAAATATTAAATGAAATATACACTATATAAATTAAAAATATTATTTAATATTAAAACGTGTCTCAACGTGTCGAAATTCAAAAAAATTTAGGATTGACGTGTCGGAGTGTCGTGTCGTGTCGTGTCACGTGTCGCCTGTCGTATCGGTGCTACATAGATGGTTTCACAGTGGGCATGATGTGCGATTTTTACCATATGACTCGTCTACATAAAAGCCAGATTTTTTTTCCCGTGTTGATTGCACTTGAATTTTGAGTATACCCTTACGATTTTCATATTGATTTAAATGATTATGTGATGTGGTTGGATTAAAATTGAATGTGAAAATTTAATCCTATTATTGTTTATGAAATATTAAAGTTTTGGGATTAATTATGTTAGATTTGTTAGTCACCAAAGTGGCCAAATCTTGAAGAGTTATTTTAATTCCAAATATTATGAATTTTATTTCAATTATCTTGACTGTGATGCTGTGAATAGTATGATATAATTATTCACGTTGTGGTATATTGAAATTCATTATTATAGGACAGTTAGGGATTAACCCAAAGGTTGATTATTTGTTTTATAAAATGAACATGGATGTTGGTATTGTTGGCATATTTCCTTGCATTTGGACATCCAAAGATGACAAAAATTTATGATAGGGGTATGCATCATTGCCAAATTATGTGAAATTTATATAGCATCATTATAGTTAATGTTGTATGTTAATGGATCCCCAAAGGTGAACATTGATATGCATTGAAGTTAGTATGTTTGAATCTGTGAAGTATGTTAGTATGTGATATGTATGTCTCAAAGCATTAATGTTTTAAATGTTATTCCTCGCAGTATCGGTTGCTACACATTCCATGTTCTCAACTGTTGCAGTTTTTAATGGGCTAAACTTCTCTGAATGGAAAGAGCAAATCCAATTTTACCTTGGGGTAATGGATATGGATATGGCTCTTAGAGAAGAGGAACCTAGTGCTATTACTCTTGAAAGCACTGAGGATGAAAGGAACCATTTTAAGAACTGTGAAAGATCCAACAGATTAAGTTTGATGTACATGAAAATGAGCATAGCAAGCAACATTAAGTCAGCTCTTCCACAAACTGAAAGTGCCATCGAAATGATGAAACTTGTGGAAGAGCGCTCTCAAACCGCTGATAAGTCTCTTGCTGGGACACTTATGAGTACACTGACCACCATGAAGTTTGATGGTTCACGTACTATGCATGAGCATGTTATTAAAATGACAAGCATTGCGGCAAAATTAAAAGCATTGGGAATGGCTGTGGATGAGAACTTCCTGGTGCAGTTCGTATTGAACTCATTATCGTCTAAGTATGGTCCTTTCCAAATGAACTATAATACCATGAAAGACAAATGGAATGTGCATGAATTGCACAGTATGTTAGTTCAGGAGGAAACCAGACTTAAGAATCAGGGAGCTCATTCTGTCAATTATGTAAAGCATCAAGAAGCTGAAAAATATAAAGGTAAGAAGCATGAGAAGAAAGGAGGAGGAGGAGGACCCCTTAAAGTGAATGAGGCATCTTCTTCTCAAATCCACAAAAAGGAAAGTAATGCAAAGATGAGATGTCATTTCTGTAAAAAAAGGAAGGGCATTTCAAAAAGGACAGCCTGAAATGTAAGGCTTGGTTCGAAAAGAAAGGTAAGCCAAGTGCTTATGTATGTTATGAATCAAACCTGGCTGAAGTTCCTTATAATACTTGGTGGATTGATTCTGGTTGTACTACTCATGTTTCTAATACAATGCAGGGATTTCTTATGACCCAAACCACAAAGCCAAATGAAAAGTTTGTCCTTATGGGCAATAGAGTGAAAGTTCCGATGAAAGCTGTTGAGACTTATCGTTTGATTCTCGACAGTGGTTTTCATTTGGATTTATGTGAAACTCTTTATGTCCCTAGTATATCTAGGAATTTAGTTTCAATTTCCAAACTTGATGTTGCTGGATATTCTTTTAAATTTGGTAGTGGTAGTTTCAGTTTGTACAAGCACAATCATTTGATTGGTAATGGTCGTTTATGTGATGGATTATATAAATTATGTCTTGATAATCTTTATGCTGAAACACTTATGAATCTGCATCATAATGTTGGTACTAAACGTACCTTAATTAATGAGTGTTCCGCTTACTTGTGGCACAAACATTTGGGACATATTTCCAAAGAAAGGATGAAAAGATTGGTAAATAATGAAATCCTTCCGGATTTAGACTTTACTGATTTAAATGTTTGTGTGGATTGTATTAAAGGAAAACAAACAAAACACACAAAGAAATGAGCCACAAGGAGCACTCAGCTTCTTGAAATTATACACACTGATGTATGTGGTCTGTTTGATGTTAATGCCTTCAATAAAGAAAAATATTTTATCACTTTCATTGATGATTATTCACGTTATGGTTATGTCTATTTGCTGCATGATAAGTCTCAAGCTGCAAATGCTTTGGAGATTTATATTAATGAAGTTGAAAGGCAATTAGACAGAAAGGTGAAGATTGTCAGGTCTGATAGGGGTGATGAATATTATAGAAGGTATGATGAAAGTGGACAACATTCGGGCCCATTTGCTAAATTTCTGGAAAAGCGTGGTATTTGTGCTCAATACACAATGCCCGGTACACCGCAACAGAAAGGTGTATCAGAAAGGCGTAATAGAACCTTACTGGATATGGTTAGGATTATGTTAAGTAATTCTTCTTTACCTGTTTCATTGTGGACTTATGCTCTAAAAACTGCCATGTATTTATTGAATAGGGTTCATAGTAAGTCAGTTCCAAAGACTCCTTTTGAACTTTTTTTTTTTTTTTGTAAATTACCTCCTTTTGAACTTTGGACTGGAAGGAAACCTAGTATAAGACACCTGCATGTTTGGGGTTGTCAGGCAG